TACTTCTTTTAGCTAGTTTTTTCAGAAAAATTTTCAACTATAACACTTTTAATTACAGGTAAAAAAAATTTAACCAATTTTAATATTATTCAATAATTACAAGATAATTTCTTATTATTACTGTTAGGTATAAAATTGTAAATACTCTATTATATTTAACTATAATATATATTTTTATAACGAATTAATAAAATCTAATATAATATACTAATATTATTAAATCATATATTTTCTATCATAGTAGAACATCTTGATTTTGATCTGTTTAAAGATTAAGTACTTTTTTAAACTTCTTAAATAAGTTTGCTTTCCAAAAGTTAATTTCTCAGCCTCACTTATTCTATATATAAATAAAGTTAAAAATTAAAAATCATATAATATAAATATTTATAAATATTTTAAATATGAATATTTGGTCAATTTGAGTCAACCCAAGTTAAGCAAAAGGTCTGATCTGACAAGTCAGATTAAATATAAGACTCATGTCAAATAATTAAACATGAATCAAGTTAAATGATCTGAATTTGACCTAATTCTTTTAGAATACTACTCATTATTCATAATATTGAGTTCAATAAATGTTAAGGTAAATTGATTAATTATTTGATTATATATAATATTACCTTTATTTTTAATTAAAATTAATAATTTATTATTACTAAAGTATAAATTAAAAAATTAAAGTCAGTTCCTATAAAATATAAGCAAAAGTATAATTAAGTAGTAAGAAAGACCTAGGAAAAATATTATAATAGATGATAATAAGAATGACAAACTATATAAAGAAAATAAATCATCATTTAAATTAGAAGAACTTATCAAGAGTAAATTTTAATATTAAAAAAATATGAAATTGCATTAAGAAAACATCTTAAAAAAAAGCATAAATTGAAATTCAATAATAATTAAATCTATAGTTTATAAATATTCATACTTTATTATAATAATAAAAACTTAATTGCTGATTTGCATATGATTGATAGAATTTATATAATAAAATGCGGCGTAACATTTATATATAAGCCATATTGATCATTTTTTTATATCAAATAAAATGCAACTATATTGTTATACAATTGCATAATTTAACACCTGCAATATACGTTTAAGATCTCAGAAAAAAAAATTTTTATAAGTTTTTTTTTCTTTGCAATCTATAAAGTTTTATATGTAGGAAACAGAAATTTCATAGTATTTTACTTCTATGATATAAATTAGTGTTCTGCACGAATCAAATTTCTCCTCTGAAATTCGATTTGATTCAGACTCGATTCAGACTTAATTTGACCTCCAAAAATTATTATCTCAAGATCTAGTGATCCAATTTCAATAATTTTTTTTTAATCGATAGGTCTTGTTGGCCCTGATCAAAATAAAAAAAGATCATCAAAATTGGACTGCTAGATCAAAAGTTATTCGTAAAATACGTTTTTATTATTTGGGAGTGATCAGAGTCACATCATGTCACGAATCGATTTGTGCAGAATACTAATATAAATGGTATAATCGATTTCTATTTCTTTAACTTTCTTTTGACGCTTATAAAACTTTTTTGATTATTATTTCTGTTAACTATTACATTTTTAATAACACTATGCACTTCTATATCTCTTTTTCTTTTACAAATACGTTCAGTTTGTAAAAAATATAAATATAATGAAATATATAAATAATAAAAGGGCTTTTATTAAGTTTTAATGGAACCTGGACAATTATAATTAAGGTCATATTTTCTAGAGCTCCGAACGGGTCGGGTCGGGTCAGGTTACCTGGTTAACCCGAACCGAAATTTTTTTCAGGTCAGGTCGGGTCGGGTAAACCGTTCTGACCCGACCTGACCCATTTGACCCGAAAGTATTCGGGTCACTTCGGGTAACTCGGGTTATCCGAAGTTTCATTATTAAATATTGTAAAAAAACGTTTTGTAATGTTTTTTACTTTTTGTTTTTATATATAAAACGCCGAAACTATTTGTTCCGGCGTTTTTCCTTTTGATTTTACATGTAAAAACGCCAGAATCATTAGTTCCGGTGTTTTTCTTTTTGATTTTACATGTAAAAATGCCGAAACTGATAGTTTCGGCGTTTTTTTTTCAATTGTACATGTAAAAACGCCGGAATCATTAGTTCCGGTGTTTTTCTTTTTGATTTTACATGTAAAAACGTCGGAATCATTAGTTCCGGCAGTTTTCTTTTGATTTTACATGTAAAAATGCCGAAACTGATAGTTTCAGCGTTTATTTTTCGATTTTACATGTAAAAGCGCCGGAATAATTAGTTCCGGCGTTTTTCCTTTTTGATTTTACATGTAAAAACGCTAAAACTGATAGTTTCGGCGTTTTTTTTTCGATTTTACATGTAAAAGCGCCGGAATCATTAGTTCTGGCATTTTTCTTTTTGATTTTACATGTAAAAATGCCGGAATCATTAGTTCCAGCGTTTTTTTTCGATTTTACATGTAAAAACGCCGGAATCATTATAAGTTTCGGCGTTATTTAATTTATTTGACCCAAATATATGTCAGGTCAACGGGTCGGGTCGGGTACCGACTAGCACTGACCCGACCCGTGTCAGGTCATGAATTTGATGACCTGACCTGAATATTTCGGGTCAACCCGTCGGGTCACCCGATCTGTCGGGTCAGGTTTCGGAGCTCTAATATTTTCTATGCTAAAAATTTACCCTTGTCATCCTGAACTTACTTTTAAAACTATAAATACAAAACTTTGTAATAATAATTGCCCTCCTATTATCTATAATTTTGTTACTTAAAAAGTAATATTTAATAATAGTAATTTTTATTTTTTTGTATATTTTCATGTATACTGATAGTGAAAAAGCGTATATTTTTTTGCCAAATTTTGCCTGTGTAATGATACTTATCTCAAATTCTAATAAGGAAATTTGCAAGATTTTGGTATCAAAAGATTCTTCTCTTCAAAAGAAACATTTTTTTCTATGGTAAAAAATAATATTAACTTAATAAAATTACATGTTAAAAGAAAAATAAAATTTAAAACATAGTAAGATATGACCTCAATTATAATTATC